CCTGTAATCCGGCCAGGCAGGGCTGGGGCCGGTGAAGTGGGAGTGGGGAGAGGGCTTGGGGAAGCCTGGGGTGGAAAGCAAAAAGCCCCCGTGGAGTCCAGGCAAAGTCAGCCCTGCCTTGTGTTAGGCATAAGAGAGCAGACAGGGCAGCAACTCAGGCAGGGACCAAACTCATGTCCAAGTTGAGCATGTTCTTCTTCCTTCTCCTTTTTTATATTAATTGAAGTAAAATAACCATTAAGGAGTTACGTTGTGGAATGCTGTGCTTGGCAGTCAGGGGGAACCTTGCAGTGTTTGCATTAAAGACACATCAAATCATCTGTCCCAGGTTTTCTTAACGTAATTCTCCTTTTCTGACAGTGCAAAGCACTATTAAAGTTTTATTAGATGTGCTGAAGTGTGTGGGGTTTTACTTTTACAGGGTGGAAAAATACAGACCCATGAAATTAAGTGAAATAGTTGGAAATGAAGATACTGTGAGCAGGTTGGAGGTGTGTAGCCATCCCTCTATCTTTCTTATGGGTTAGCTCAAAAAACATAATTCTGCATAGATACACAGACCAGTAAAAGCACTTTTGTATTTTTTACATCCATACTTTAGTATGTGGAAAAAGCCTTTCCAATTCACTTATGAAATTACATGTTTTAGGACATGTTTGAGTGGTGTTTAAGGAAATATGCCTTCTTGAATTGGGATATTGTTTAAATTGGCCCTGTTTTGATACACCGTAGAAAATTTGTAACTATTACATTGTTTCAGTGAATAAATATTTATGTAACAACAGAAAGAAACAATGTTTTTCTGGAAAAAATATTTTCCTTGACAAATCAGTTTATAAACACTATTTGTTAACAGAAAGCTTATACTAGCAAACATAACATGCAAAGGAAAGGCAAGAGTACTAAAGGCCTGTGGGATTAAGTGCTTTTAAGCTTTTCCATTCTATTCTAGGGGCTGACTTCTAATGGTTCAATTAAAAAAAATATGAAAGCAGTAAGGTCCAAAAAAATGAAGGCAGGAGGGAAGAAAAAAAATGAGTTAGTTCTGTTTCTCATGCTTAAAATAGAATTGGAAACTCTGTTCCCACTATTTTCTTACATCATTTTTTATTATTGTTCTTTCTTAGGTCTTTGCAAAAGAGGGGAACGTACCAAATATTATAATTGCTGTAAGTATTGCTGTGTTGTACTGTATTTCACTGTGTTGGTCCTGGCTTCTGAAATCCAGCCACAATAGCCTTCCAGTATAGATTTGCATTGTGCCTGAATGTGTTGGTAAGAGAGACGGTGATTGTGTGGTCACGGAGCAGTGTTCTTGGCAGAATGCACAAGTAGTGAACAACCTTCTGTCAAAAACGACTTGGCCCTCGAGTGCCTGTTGAAGTGTGTCTTGTGCTTCTCCCTGCAGCATTTCTCTCCTCTGTTGGAGGCAGGATCCTGAACTCAGGCAGCCTCTAGTCTGATGTGCTCTCTGCAGTTCCTCTGTGGCAGCTGTTTTTCATGACTGAGGAGTTTTGTAGAGAGCACAGCTTGGAAAATTACATTAAACTTACCAGCAATTGCTGTGTTGTCGCATTCCTAGGGTCCCCCAGGAACAGGTAAAACCACCAGTATCCTCTGCTTGGCTCGTGCTCTGCTTGGTCCTGCATTAAAAGATGCTGTCTTGGAGCTGAATGCCTCAAATGACAGGTGGGAATGAATAAACCTTACTATACTTTTAAAGAAGAAGCAAGTATCCATTTTTATTTTTAGTTCAAGTCAGGCTGGCTTGATAGGCTTAATGCTATATTAAGGCCTCTAATACTTATCTTAATGCACTTTTTCCAACTAAAAGTTAGGCAATCTTTGCTGTCCAACTATCAATATGGGTATTATTACTTGGTGTTTTATGAACTTGATAGAAACTTTCATGTACAAAAATAGAAAGAGATGGAGTGCAGAATCCGTAATGGTACTGTTTTCTTGAATTTTCTTTAAAGAGTTAAGCTACCCATATCCATGAAGATGCTCCTAAGAATGAAAAGTGAGCAAGTTGTTTGCAATTAAATTCTTCGGTACTTAGGAAAAAAAGTGAAGTGGTAGAAATTAGGGCTATAAGGGCAGTTGGGTATTAAAATGTACGACAAGGGTGTTAAGTATGTACAGGACGCTGACTCTACCCAAGGATTGGGCAAAAGGGCTGATTATATTTCTCAAGTTCTGTAGCAGACCTGGCCTGAGGTATTCTGACAGTGTTTCCTAGAGGATTGTTTATGAGTGCAATACATTTTACCTGCCTGTGTTAATATCAGTTATAGAAGAACTATAGAATCACAACATTCATTTTCTAAACAGAACAAAAAAGTAAAATCCTTTATTTTTAAAAGTAAGTCTTTACTGGGACTGTCTAGGAAAACACCATGTTGTGCTAAAATGATGCAGTCTGTCCAGCTGGTTTTCTTAAACTCTTCTGAGTTACAGCCAGGTCTGTGGATGTAGCTGTGTGAAGTACTGGCAAAGTAGCAAAGCAGTGTTAAATGCTTCTGACCTTGTTCATTTATTACCCCTACCTTTTGCCAAACTAAGTAATTTTGTGGCAGTACTGTAAGGTTACTGATGTATATGTATACTGACACCGTTCAGTTATTTTTTCAAAGCCTCTGAAAATGAGGATTATTGGTGTTTAAATCTGAATCAGTTAGGCAGCCTGGCTTACAACATGGTTTCACAACAGTTGTACGGGCACAGCTGAAGGGGCAGGAACAAACAGCGGGAGAATAGGGAGCTCAGGAGTGCTTCAGCCACTGTGGCTGCTGAATAAAATCTGTTATGTAATTTCACCCAACTGATGATGAATCACTTGAATTACTGTTCCAGAGGCATTGATGTTGTGAGAAACAAAATCAAAATGTTTGCTCAGCAAAAGGTCACACTTCCAAAAGGTCGGCATAAAATAATCATCCTCGATGAAGCAGACAGGTACGTTGTTTTTTTCTTGACCTCAGCCACTATGTGAAATGTGCTGCATCTATCCTGTCTGCGGAGCTGCTGTCTTGGACTGTCTTAGATGTTTCTAAAAGGCTGTCAGAAATAATATGTTAGGAAATAATACATTGAACAGTGTTCTTACGAGATTGCTCATATCAAGCAGAGATCATTGCTTCAAAGGAGAATACTGGGGTGAAACACTTTGTGATTTAGCTGGATATAAAATAGAATCTTCCAGCTTACTGGCTCTTTC